GGGGTCTCGCTCTTGCTCAGGCTGGTTTCGAACTCCTGAGCTCAAACAATCCGCCCGCCTCGGCCTTCCAGAGAGCTAGGATTACAGGCGTGAGCCACCGAGCCGGGCCTGCTACCCCATTTTTGAGAGTTATTAAGTTTATATATAAAATGCCCTATCTCCTTGAAAACACTCAGATCCAGCTCATATGTGCCCTCCTCAGGGAACACAGAAGGTCCACCAAATCTAAAGGCATTCCTGCTAGTCTTCACCTCTTGCCTTTCAGATTGTCACATCCTGGTCTTATGGTCTTCACAGCACGGGGCACTTTGTGAAATTACAATGGTCAGCTATCTATTGTGCGTTTACTTAGTCCTCTTATTCTAGAATGTAATCCGTAATTACATTGCCTCTGTTACTGTTGCATCTCAAATTTTTAGAATTGTGCTTGGCATTTAATAGGTACTCAATAAAGAAATGTTGAATAAATGAATGATTCCTTACCATTTGTTAAGAAATTCTTTTCCATTTAGTCTTTCATTTGATGACAGCCCTACAAGTTAGAGCAGTTGTTAGCCACATGTTACAGATCTAAAATGACATGTTGGGAAAAGCAATTTTTGAACTGAAGGGTAAGGAAGCTATAAAAGTATAAATATATAAACTTTTTCTGAGGCAAAAACACTTAATTGAGGATAAGGACTCTCATAGAACAATAGATGACACGTTTACTGTCTGTGAAAGAAAGGAAGGAGCCACTCTCTGTTGTACTGTCTTCTTTAGTAGGGCAAGTGTCATGTATTCCTTTTTATAATTTCATCAATACCTGCATAGTTCATAAATACTTACATTTATACTGTTCACATGATAAACAAATTTAGCTTTATTCTGAAAATGCTTGATTTTAACTCCACATTTAAGAGTTCACCATATGACTGCTTATGGATACATTAACATATATGTATTATTATTAGAATCACTTTTTAATCTTAAATTTGGAGAGCATTAGACTACCTAACTAAAAATGATTCCTCACTTTTATGGTACTGGCAGAGGGAATGAGTTAATAGGTTACTTTATGATAGTTGAAATTTATTCTGGTGATCACCAAAGTTAATATTTAATAACATGCTAAAATGATAGTTTTCTAAGAAAGATGTTAAAAATGATAATTCTCAATATCATGAATCTGTACCACTTTATGAGAAAAGAAATGGGTATACAGTTGACCCTTGAACAACATGGGTTTGAACTGTCTGGGTCCACTTATATGCAGATTGAAAATATACATCATTAATGGGATATGAAACCCAAGTATATGGAGGACAGACTTTTCCTAAATGTGTGCTCCACAGGACCCACTACAGGACTTGAGTATGTGTGGATTTTGGTATATGTGGGGGTCCTGGAACCAGTCCCCTGTGTATACTGAGGAACGATTGTATATTTAGGGATTTGTTTTTTCCTTGAGTAAAGGAAAAAGTAGTAAATGATTAATAGTCCTTTCTGTATCATAATATATTTCAGGTATATCAGGTTTAAGAAAACCCTTGATTATGGATTTTAGAAAACTAGTGTTATTTTTTCTATTGATGTATTCATTTTTGAGAGAGTCTTTGGAGGGTGGGACCGTACTTTTAAATAAACAACTATTAAGGCCTACTTGCTTCCAGTGAATATCATCCAAAATTAATAAATATTGATCCTAGATATTCAAAGGGAAGAAACCACACAAAAAACTCTTTGAAATTTTTTGGATCATAGGAAAACTATTTTGAGTGTAAAATGCTGAAATTTTTGATAGACTGCCATTATATTTATAGTTCTGTTAGTTACCATATTTGCACACTGTCACATAAAATGCTAGAAACTGTTTCTATAACTGTCTTTATGTATTTAACATTGTGTCTTATTAGTAATCCTAAATTTTTATATAACTAAATGGTCTTGTGTTTAAATGCCTATTTGCTAATTTTTGGCTGATTACTCATACTTGTTTTATTTCTCAGGCAATAATAAATAGCACCATCACCCCAAACATGACATTTACTAAAACATCTCAGAAGTTTGGCCAATGGGCTGACAGCCGGGCAAACACCGTTTATGGACTGGGATTCTCCTCTGAGCATCATCTTTCAAAAGTAAGTTAAATCATAAGATCTGAGTGAAAATCTTTATCTTCAAGTCATATATCTTAAATATATAATACTGAATGGAGAGTATAAAATATAGGGAAAATTTGTTTAATAGTCTCAAAACAACAGTAGTGACTTTAGAGCAAAAAGCAAGAGACCATTGGATTCCATTGTCATTTGGAAAATGTACACGTTAAAAACAGTCACCGCTGGTTGAGAAGGATTTGTATGGTTAACTATATGTATGATAGGAAATAAAAGATGGGGATTATCACTTCAGAATGGATTTTGCTCAGAGATTAGCACCCTCAATTGGAGATAGTCTGCAAGATAGGCAGACACCAAGCTCTTCTGAATTGTGAAAACTCAAGTCGATACTGATAAAGATTTCAGCTTTTTGGCATGATGGCAGGTACATAAAATAAAAATCACTGTATTTAGGGAAAATTGTGCTTTATCTGCATGTGGAGTACTCTGAGCTCTGATATAGTGCAGAGTGAGACCCAAAAGACGCCATGAGGAATTCTTGATTAATACTGATCAACAGAATTACTCTGGCAGAAAAGCCAATAAAATGCACAGCATCACCAGGCCAAATGTTGGAAATAAAATTGTCTTGTCTGTAAGCAGAAGCCATGCAGTGTTCATAGTAGCAGCACCTTGAGTTCTTGTGGATGTTACTTGGAAAGCATATGTAAGGAAAAGGAAA